CAAAAAACTAAAAGAGGATGAAGAGATTATCGTAATTCCGGCAGATAAAGGAGGCAGAGTAGTCGTAATGAACGTAACTGACTACATCAAGAAAATACGTGAAAAATTAGATACAAAAGCATATGAAAATTGTTAGAAGAAGATCCGTCTAAATCTATACATAAAAAGCTAGAATTGATACTAGCAGAGTTAGTGGGTAAAAACGAGATTGATCAGGACGAAATGGAGATGTTACTAGAGAATAAGAAAATACTCTGTGTACGAGGACAATTAAAAGTCCACAAAGCAGATAAGTCGATGGATTAATTGTGTCGATGAGAGACACAATGGGATCAGCATTAACTAAATTTATCACAAATATAACCAAGTCAGTAGCCGATAATAGCAGATCAATCAAAAATACCCAAGATCTAGTCACTAAGTTGTACAAACTAAAGGTTAAGAAAACAAGCAAACTAGCCAGTTTAGATATAACTGATTTATTCATGTCAGATCGTGAGAAAGTCATCGTGATAGTATATGATTTGCTGGATCAGGATGAATCGTGGAAAAGCAAACCCAGCCTAACAAAAGAAAGTTTATTAAGGTTAACTGAATTCAGCATTGAGAATGTCATCTTCCAGTTGGTAGTCAGTTTTATAAACAAGTTTATGGACTCCCAATGGGTTCAGCCAAATCACCGTTTCTCGCGGACACTGCAGTTAACAATTTTCTATTAAAAAACTGTAATTTTGAAAAATATCCTTATATCGGGTTAGCAGGATATGTGGACGACATCTTGTTAATTTCAGAATTAGATAAGGCACAAACCGAGCAATTAGTTAAGGGATTGAATAGTAAGAATGACCTACAATTTACATTTGAATATGAAAAAGAACATAAAATACCTTTTCTAGACGTACTTATTTGGATAAATGAAAAAAGTGATGAAATAGGTACGAGTTGGTATAGAAAAGAAACAGCAAGTACACGATTATTAGATTTTAACTCTGACCATAGTTATGCAATGAAACAGAATATAGTTATGAACATGGTTAATAGAATTAAAACAAGCAATAACGAAAAAGTTAATATAAATGACTTAAAGAGGTTAGAGGAAATGTTAAAGAACAGTTGATACCCAAAAAGAATAAGAACAAAAATTTTTCAAAAAGCGAGTAAGAAAATTAATAAAGAGGAGAAGGGAGACAGTACAATAGTCAACCCTCATAGACATTTGTTAACGGAAAAATTAAGAGCACATTTAGCTAAATTTAACATTAAAATTTATACCACTTTAAATCGTAGCATGGGATCAATGCTCAATAAAGCAAAGAAAATCGCACAGAAAGATTGCGTTCTTGACCAAAAGAACGAATGTAAATGTGGTCAAGACAGTGTATATGGTGTACCATGTACATGTGGTAATATTTATGTCGGTGAGACTTGCTCGTTTAAAAGACGAATAAAAGAACATATGCGGAAAATTAAACAGAGAGATGTCAAAGGATCAGAGTTAGCACAACATGCAAAGAACCCCGGTTGTTTTGTTAATTTCGATGAAAGCGTTATCTTTGATAAAGAAAAGCATTGGGCAAGAAGAAAGAAACTGGAAACGGTTTATACTATTGTCAATACGGGTTATAATAAATGCAAAGGAATAAGTCCGCAGTGGAAGTCTACTATCAAGAAGGGGTCCGACCCAGAACAGGGAAGAACTTTTTCCCGACAGTGGACAAACTAGTCGTTAATTCCGGAGAAATTATAAGTAATACTACCACTAATCAGACCACAACATATAGATATAATTATACGAGCTATAGTTTACGCGAACAAAAGAGGAAAAATTATAAAGAATGACTTAATAATATGTCTATTCGTTTACAACTCTCTTTCCAATATCATACGGCCTGACTTAATCTATCCTTCTAGGTCGAGAGAGAGGAGGGGGAAAAAATAACCTCGTGTCTATAAATATTCTAAAGATGTATTTTAGTTTATTTTATCTCGCCTGTTATTCTTCGATGTTCGTACGAATAAGTATGTCTTGTGAGAGAGAGACATTAATAGATGTTGTTAAAGAAAAGAAAATGAAAAATATACTATAAATAGGCGTGCAACAATATAAAGTTTAAGCAGTCACTCTACATTTTAAGTCTGCACAAGTTATGTGAAATAGAATTTTAACTATATTTTATTTTTTATATATTTTATTACGCACACTGAAGAAGACCTCAATTAAAAGAGGTCGAAACGTTTGTTGTTTTTGTTAAATTTAAAATTTAAATAAAATTAAAATACGGAACTAAAGTATCTAACTTTAACTCTATAACATATATATTTAAAAAAAATGAGCAACATTCTTTAGATGTTAATAATAACATTATTTTACTAGCATCACCCTGTACTCCTTAACCAACACAATCACCAGCTGATGAACCAGTACAAGAAAATCAGTCGTGTACAAATTCACCCGTTCGGATGCAATTTAATTCAAAACAAGTGAATGACGGTGATATTCCTACGAAAGCAGGTAAATATTCTATTGTTATGGATAGCTTTAATTTAATATAATGGGGATTTCGTTTTTTATAGATTCTGGAACAATACTGGAACAATTAGTTCATATGATACATAAATCATTGATGACACATCATAATGAACAGCACACGAGTACAGAGATAGTTACTCAACAGCAACGAACTGATGAAGTAACAGTGGTTAGAAGCGAAAAAGAAGCAAAAAATTTCAATATTGAAGAATATAATGTTGATAAACACAGTAAGATTTAATCAAATGAAATAAAGAGACTAATGGCGTAGGCTGAAACTTTTATGAGCGTTCAAGATTTGGAGCTTACTTAACTTTTTGAATAAAAAAAGTATTAATTTTTGTCTCTGTATTTTTAGATAAAGTTTCACTGAAACCATTAATGAATGTGACAGACAGTTCAATGACGATGGTTGATCAACAATATCATGTAACAACATTGGCGCCTGTTGATGAAGAGCGAATAACAGTTGTAAGAAAAAAATAGTGATAAAGAAAGTAAGATTACATGAATAGATATGGATTCATTTGAGTCTTCCTCACTTCGATCTAGCTACTATGTCCAAAGTAAAGCGAAGAAACATGCATGATTGTTCTGATACTATTTTTTAACCATTATGTGTTACAACGAGATATGATTCGGTTGATGTATAAACAAAATAATATCAGAAAATTTCAATCTTTTGATTTTATATTTATAAATTATTTTATGCACTTAGATGCCGATCGAAAAAAAATTATGGCTGTTTGTCAAAAGATATTAGAAACGAAATCGCCATTAACGACTGACACGGATATATCAAAGAAAACATCACATTATCTCATACAAAATCGTACAGCAGCAAAAAACAAATTGATTGAGCAACAATTAATTAAAAAAGATTTGTATTTGGCAATTGCAAATAAAACTGGGAATTCAATCAAAACATGTCCTGGTTATGTTAAATGTTTTCCCTTATCCAATTCGATTACCGAAAAAGAACAATTCAGTCAACATTTGGCTGAGTATGGTATTAAGTTACAA